CGGGCCGCGGGAGTCAGCGCGGGGGGCCGGGCCGGGCCGGCCGTCCCTCCCGGCTTCTCCCCGTGCCTCCCCCGTCTGTGCAGGCGGGAGCGGTCAGTCACTCAGCGGCCCCGGCCACCCTCCGGGGCCCTCGGCGCCCCTGCATGCCTGAGGCTCTCCATCCCACCCCTCAGCCTCCTCAGGGTGGCTCAAAACCGGCCCTGCCCGGTCTCAGGGGCCTGGCACGTGCTGTTCCCTCTGCTCAGACCCCCCTCTTCCCTGGTCCTCCCGCCAGAGCAGACCCCTCCCTCCCTGGCAGTTCTGGCGCTCAGGTGTGGCTGTGTGGTCACCCGTGGGGTGTGGCGTTAATGGCTGTGTGCTCCTAAGGCCAGCAGCCAGCCTCACGGGCCAAGCTGGGACCCCAGGATGCAGCACATCACAGGTGCTCAACACACGTGGGGAGAGGGAAGGGAGGAAGAGAGGCCTCTCGGGAGGCCCACCCGGCACGCTGTTCCCACCAGGTGCCAAGGCCTGTCCACCCTCCCCCTGGTCGCCATAACCCCACAAGGGGGTGAGGCTGGCTCCCTCCTGCTTCAGAACATGGACTCAGGTCTGTGTTCCCAGCCCTCTGGGAGGCCGAGGCAGGAGAATCCCTTGAGGCCAGCAGTTCGAGACCAGCCTGGGCAACCGAGTGAGACCTCGTCTCTATAAAACTTAAAAAAAAAAATTAGCCAGGCTTGGTTGTGCACACCTGCAGTCCCAGCTACCTGGGAGGCTGAGGCAGGAGGATCACTTGAGCCCAGGAGGTGGAGGCTGTGGCGAGTCGCACTTGGGTCACCGCACTCTAGCCTGGGCTGCAGAGCTAGACCCTGCCTCTCCAACAAATAAGTAAATAAAGCCCTGGGGTGTGAGCCTAGACCCCGGAAGGCAGAGGGCCGCGAGGCCCCTAACTGGTCCGCACCTGCCCACCCCACTCTGTCCCAGAGAGCAGGAGCCAGACAGTCCTGAACACAGAGGGGGACGGGCAGGGGAGAGGAACCACGGGGCAAGCCATACCTCGTGCCACCTCTCTGAACATCAGTTTCCTCTTCTAAAAAAATGGGGCCATGCCCTGAAGGAATGCTGGGATAGCCAGAAAAGGCCAGGGCCAGAGGAAGCTTCCGTGCCACGCATCTCGGGAACCTCAAGGTCCAGTGGAAAGAGCTGGGTGGGGAGTTACTGCCCGTTTCTGAGTCTGTCACCCCACAAAGTCAAAAGAGGGGACCATCGGCCAAGTCCGGGGGTTGTCAGGACAACTAAAAGAGAGATTGGGCCAGGCGTATTGGCTCATGCCTGGAATTCCAGCAAGTTGGGAGGTCGAGGTGGGAGGACCGCTTGAGACTGGGAGTTCGAGACCAGACGGGGCAATATAGCGAGACACCGTCCCTACAAAAACTATGTAATGAACCAAGTGTGGTGGTGTCTGTAGTCCCAGCTACTCAGGAGGCCGAGGCAGGAGGATTGCCTGAGCCCAGGAGGTGGAGGCTACCATGAGCTGTGATCACTGTGATTGTGCCCCTGCATGCAGCCTTGGTAACGGAATGAGACCGGGAGTCAGAAAAATAAAATAAAGAGAGGATGGGTGTGGCTGCCCTTCAAGGAGGCCAAACCTTTTCCAGACATTGTGGGCAGACAGGAATCAACAGTGCTTAGGTGTCAGGAGCAAGGAGGCTGTGGTTCCAGGAAAAGGTTCTGCTCTCAGACCCACTAGAGTGACTTGCCTTTGCAATATGACAGGAAAAGGACGCAAAATTGTCTCCCTGTGCTGAGCCACAGCAGTCAGTAACGGCGTGCACACTCTGTGTATGTGTGTGAGAGAGAGAGAGAGAGAAACATGCCCACCCTGTGTTTGTGTGGGCGAGAGAGAAACATTTCCAGGTGGAAAACAAGCTGTCAAGGAGAAGCTGGGTGCGGTGGCTCAGGCCTGTAATCCCAGCACTTTGGGAAGCTGAGGTGGGAGGACTACCCGAGCCCAGGGGTTTGGGACCAGCCTGGACAACACAGTGAGACCCTCATCTCTACAAAAAGTTTTAAAATGGGTCACGCATGTTGGTACTTATAGCCCCAGCTACGCAGGAGGCTGCGGTAAGAGGATCGCCTGAGCCCAGGTCGAGACTGCCGTGAGCCGTGATCATGCCACTGCACTCCAGCCTGGGTGAGAGACCCTCACTCAAAAAACAGACACTGCCAAGGGGTGTAGCAGGGAGGAAATCGCCCCCTCAGGCCTTTCCCACTCCGGGAATTGTCAGCTCATGCACGCCAGCCACCTTTTCTTCTCTCTCTTTCTGAGAGAGGGTCTCACTCTGCCAGCCAGGCTGGAGTGCAGTGGCACGACCATAGCTCACTTCGGCCTCGACCTCCTGAGCTCCAGCGATCCTCCCACCTCAGCCTCTGGAGAGGCCGGGCCCACAGGCGCCGCCACGTCCAGCTCATGCTTTTATTTTCTGTGGAGACGAGGACTCGCTACGTAGCCCAGACTAGTGGCAAACCTTGGGGCTCAAGCAATCCTCCCGTCTCGGCCTCCCACAGTCCTGGGATTCCAGGCGTGAGGCAGGGCGCCCGGCCTCGGGCCACCTTTTCAATCAGACAACCAGAAGTGTCGGCGCTGCTGCCACGTTTCACTCCCAAGAAAACGCTGCAGCGCTCTTGGCAGCGAGGACAGCCAAAGGCCTCCTGGTCAGGGCCTCTCACCTCGGAAGGAGGCTATCTTCCTCACGGTGCTCAGCTCGTTGTGAGTGACCGCCAGAGCCTGTCTGAACTTCAGGTTGGTCTCCCTGGTGACAAGGAGGCAGGGAAGTGACGAGGCCACTCCAGCCCTTCCGCCCAGCACCTGCCGTGTGCTGGCTGCGCCCGAAGGCCGTGGTCCACGAGGGAGGCCGCCTCGCCCGGGGCCGCACAGCACGGTAGCCGAAGGGCGGAGGCCGGGGCCCAGGGTCTCCGCCCTCAGGCGCGCAGTGGGGCCCGCAGGCACACAGTAGGTGTTCTCGAGAGTGTCTGAGCGGCTCTGGCGGGGAGGTAGCCCCTGACCCTGGAGCGTTCCCAGAAAGGACCCTCAGTGCCCGGCGGCCGCTGCCCCAGACGCACAGGGTGAGGGCCCGACCCTCTGTCCCTGGGGCAGGGGCACCCCTCACCCGTCGATGTCGGCCGTCTCCACGTAGCACAGGCTGCTGGGCTCGGTGCTGGCCAGGAGGAGCAGGTCAGCCTGGCGGGTGGGGAGTGCGTTGCAGGTGGGGGGCCAGGGAGGCTGCGAGGCCGGCACCCCCCGGGCCCCACTCACCGGCACGATGCTGTCCTTCCGGAGACAGACCACGTCTCCCACGCACAGGTCTCTCCACTTGCACCAGGCGAAGCTGCAGGGCGGGGGCCGTTGAGGGACCCTGTGCCGCCCCCCTTGCAATGATTTTTTTTTTTTGAGTTGGAGTCTCACTCGGTTGCCCAGACTGGAGGGCAGTGGCCGCTCCCGGTCACTGCAGCCTTGCCCGCTGGGCTCCGGCGATCCTTCCACCTCGGCCTTCCAAGTAACTGGAACTACAGGCGCGCGCTACCATGCCTGGCTGATTTTCAATTTATTGTAGAGATGAGGTCTCGCCGAGTTGCCCGGGCAGGTCTCGAACCCGCGGGCTCAGGCCATTCACTCACCTCGGCCCCCCAAAGCGTGGGATTACAGGCTGAGCCACCGAGCCCAGCCTTATTTTTTATCTGTAGAGACGAGAGCTCACCAGGAGACCCAGGCTGATTTCGAAGTCCAGGCTCAAGCAAGCCTCCAAAGTGCTGGGACAACAGGTATGAGCCACCCTGCCAGGCCCGGGCCCTCCACAGCCTGTGAGGCCTGGCCCAGGGACTGCCTCCCCCAGGAAGCCTTTCCCTGACCTGCCGCCTTTCTCCTGGAGGGCCCAGGGTCCCGTCCCCAAGGCCTTTTCAGACATCCCTTGTCCTTCCCCCTCGGCTCTGCCAGGTTTCCCAGTCGGGGATTCTGTCTCCGCCCCCATCGCTGGCAGGTGCCGAATAAATGCAGGCCTGGGTGTCAGACTCAGCCAGGAAGGCCGGGAGCGTGGACAGGGACGGTTCCCTCTGCCAGGGGCCACGCCCCCCCCCGCTGAGGGCAAACCCCTGCCAGGCTGGAGCCTCCCTGTCGGGGGCTAGACGGAGCCTGTAATCCCAGAGCTCTGGGAGTCCAGGCAGAGGCCAGGAGTTCAAGACCAGCCTGGACGATCCAGCAAGATCCCGTCGCTACTAAAAAGCAGCGACAACCCAGGAAGGTCTGGCCCGGCCTCACCTCTTTCCCATCAGGACCTGGCAGGGTCGGTTGTTGACGGTCTCATCGCTCCGGTGCCGCCCCTGGGGGTCACAGAGCCCGTCAGCACAGGGCTGGGGCTCGGCTCGGGCGCCCACAAGGCGTTCCTGACGGCACACGTCCCCCCACAGCCACGCCGGGGCCGTCCAGGCAGCCCAGAGCCAAGGGTCCCAGGGGCCCCGCCCGTCTCGCCCCCAGCCTGCCCCTGCGGCCTCCCGGCCCCTCCCAACTCACGATGTCATCCACCAGGTCCCGGATGGCGCGGATGACCAGGAGGCAGACCAGGGGCGTCAAGAGCATGAACCAGGGCAGCGTGGAGATCTCCGGGATGCTCTGGGTGGACAGTGGTC